GGGCTATCTCCTTCATCTTTATACCAGGGTCATTCATGATGGCCATCAGAATCTCACTTTTAGAGCCTCCCATTGTCCTGGGGTCCTTCTCTCTTTTATAGTCACGGACACGTCCTTTGTCTTGAACTCACTGGAGACGCTGCTGGCTCCTTTAATAAAAGGACACCCCTTTTGGCTAAGCTTGTTGACGGAGGGAAGGCTGGGTCTTCCAGCCCAACTCTTCTTCCTCTCAGATTCCCCTCGTCCTTGGGGACTTCCATCAAGTATGGCTACTCCATGGGGCTGGTCTCACTGGAGCACTTCCAGTGACCTCTGGCCAGCTGTAAACTCAAGTCCCCCTCCCTGCCTGAAATCCCAGAAACACAGCTGGGAAGCACTGGCACATTTAAAAAAGACTTTTCTAAAGACCCAAGTTTAACATAGGGCAATCCGCCGCCAGCAGAGGCTCTGGCGCAGGATGTCTTTCCAGCCCTGCTCACTAAGGGAAACCCTCGTGATCCACCCCCACACCCCTACTCCTCGCCTTATTACAATCAGGATAATTGAGTGGGTGGGGAGGGAGCATAGAGAGGGACAGTGGTAGAGCCCAGAACCCAAGCCAGGAGAGGGCCTTTCATTGGAAAAGGCTGGGATTTGCTTGGAAGGGAAAAGGAATGCAGCGGAGGGGAACGGAGTGGGGAAGAGATGAGAGCTCACGTGTGAGGACTGGAAAGTGAAAAGTGGGGAGACGCTTTGAGGAACTAGGAAGTGGGAGATGATGAGAGCTACAGGAAAGAGGAAGAGGAATTTAGGAAGTGCTGTTAGGAGTTGGATCCCCTTTAATATTCTTTGAAAGATGCAATACTGGAATTTATTTATTACACTTGGTTAATGGACTGTGTTTCTTTGATTGTAAAACTGTGCTCAGACCAAGCCACATGAGATCAAGGATTTTTCCAGGGCACACATGCAATCTGGTTCACGAGCTGTATTGCACTTATCTTCATCACAGGTCAACTTAGCAGGTCAAGTATTCCAACTCAGCATAGCAGGTCTAACGGCCGTACCAAGAGTGACCATGGGAAGCAGCTGGGTTGACATTTCAATCACCTTGCAAAAGTCTAGGAGGTTTATATGGGAAGATCCAGCAGCTCCTCTCCCTGCTAGATCACATCCCAGTATGTACGTCACCTCCATTCAAAGCTGATACATACACAGATGAGCAGCATTTCTCTGTCACAGATGTGCAATTGAATCCCCTCAATTCAGTGGTACTTTGGCTGTGCATTAACAGCTTTAAAAATCTTGATGCCCAGGCTGAACCCCAGCCCAATTCAATTAAAATCTCTGGGGCTGGGACCCAGGAATCTGTCCTTGGTAAAAGCCCCCAAGTGATTCCAGTGTGCAGCCAGGGCTGAGAACAACTGTCCTAATTACTGATTCATTCCATGTTTGGTCATCAGCAAATCAGACAAGAGCCAAGCTCTTTGATATTGAGCATCCAGTCCCCTGAAGATATCTATCTAGTATCTGACATTAATTCTTATCAAGAGTCCCCAAGCTCCTGAGGAACTTTCTCAGCACCCAAGCTTAAGTAATAGCGGGGATCAGTTTGGCAAGACACACACATTGCTGTTTTTTGCAGACACAAAACCCCAGCTCTTGTGAAGTCTGGAAGACCCCAGAGATACCTCATGTTTGTCTGTGAACTGGACCACCCCGTTAGCTAGCCTGTGGCCCCTACTACCTTCTGCCCACTGCTTCAGCCCCTCTGCAGGCTGCTGCTGCCTCTCAGGGGACACGGCTCCCATCTTCCCAGCTGAGCCCCTGTTCTTTTTCTAATACACTCACCAGCATCATGGCCTCTCCCCTGTATCAGCTGCTCCCCACAGGCCTCCCTTCCACTGCCAGTCACCACTGCCACTTCTGCCAGGGGCTGCCCTCTCGGCTAGGCCCCCTCCTGCTTCCACTTGGTCCTGCTGCTGCCGGGCACGGGGGCCAGTCATCTGTAGCAAGAGTGGGTGAGAACACCCATCTTTTTCTGCCATGGATCCTAACACAAGGCCCATGGCAGAGGCACTGCTGACCCACCCTCGTTTTTAAGCATAGTCCTCACTCCAGGTCTCCAACGTCAGACCTGGGTCTTGCCCCTCCAGCCAACTATGGCCCCACTGCCTCCTCCAGCAGGGGTGAGGTCTCTTACAGATCACTCTTCCTGCTCAGTCTCTCCCCGAGCCCTGCCCACCATGCCAGACCTGTGCCAGAGCCCCCAGACATGTCTAGTTAACGGTCTAGCAACTGACACAGCTGCAGCCCGAGTGGGGAAGTGGGGGCCAGGGGGTGCCTGCATGCGATGGTACACTTGGAAAATGTGGTATCTTAGCAAGCCAGTATTCTACAACTTTCACACTGAAAGGTCGGATCAAGTCCACGAAGAGAGCATGGGTATGTGTGAGCCTGGAGGACCCTGTGAATGTCACCCTGCCCCCTCCCTCTAAGTTGCCGCGGGTCCTCGAAGAGAACCAAGGGTTTTAGAAGGGGGCACAGAAGGTGAGTGAGAAATGCATAAGGGGGACCTAATTTGTTTTCTTTTTAATTTTTTTCAAAAAAGCTTGGGAATCCTGTAATGGTTAAATTAAAAAATGTGTGTCTGATGAATACCTACACAAAAGTGGTGGTCCTCTGGCTCTCACCTCCAGACCTGGTCTCCAGAGGTGAGCAGCTGCTTCTAATCATTTAATTCTTCATAACCTGAAATGTGCTTCTCCTTCCTCCCTTGATTAACCTCAGACCTCACCTAGTGACTCCTTGCTGGCGGCTGAGGATGACTGACACCCATCTCCTAAGTATTGCTGGTTCCAGTTCCTCCACTTGACTCTCAGGAAGGCTGGCAGGACTACTGGCAATCCAATCCCTTTCTCTATCTTCCCTTCCCAGGCTTCTACCTCCACCCAGTGTCAGTTTTAATTTTATCAAGATTATGGGATGGAAAGAAGTGCTCAGATTTCAGAGGAATTTAGAACATGTAAAGATAAGACTCAAAAATTGACTGACTGTGAGGAATAATAAAAAGGGGGGTTGTCCAGGGCAGCCCTGGGGTCTTGGCTTGTGTAACTGGGCAGACTAGTGCAACTTACTGAGTGGAGGACGAGAGATGAGTTTGAGGTATCCATGGGGCGTCCGAGTGGAGACGTCAGAAGGCCATTGGCTATACTGGTCTGGCAGGCAGGAGTGAGCGCTGGGCACCAGCAGCCCCTGGACAGTAACTGAAGCTATGCGTGTGGCTAGATCACCAGGGAGAGGATATAGACGAAAAAGAGAAGAGGGCCCAGAAGCAAAGTGGGAAGAACAACATTTAAAAGAACAGAGACCTAAAGCAATCTACAGATTCAATGCAATCCCAGTCAGAATCCCAATGATATTTGTCACGAAAATAGAAAAAAGAATACTAAAATTCATATGGGGCAACAAAAGACCCCGAATAGCTAAAGCAATCTTAAGAAAAAAGAACAAAGCTGGAGGCATCACAATACCTGACTTCAAAACATACTACAAAGCAATAGTAATCAAAACAGCATGGTACTGGTACAAAAACAGACACACAGATCAATGGAA